GGGATTTCATTGAATGTAGAGATGGCTTTTGGTAGTGTGGACATTTTAGCAATATTAATTCTTCCAATCCATGAACATGGGCTATCTTTCCATTTGTTTGCTTCTTCTTCAATTTCTTTCATTAAATTCTTATAGTTAACTGTGTATACATCTTTCACCTCCTTGGTTAAATTTATTTCTATTTTTTTTGTTTGCTTTTGATGCTATTGTGAATAGGATTGTTCTCTATTTCTTTTTTAGATATTTTGTTGTTAGTGTACAGAAATCCAACTGATTTCTGTGTGTTGATTTTGTGTCCTGCACCTTTAGTGTATTTACTGGTTAGTTCTCACTAATCTAAATTAATTAGCTGAATCCATTGACTAGTTTTTTGATGGAGTCCTGAGAATTTTGTTATGAGATCATAACATTTACAAAGATAACTTTACCTTTTCTTTTCTGATTTGGATGCATTTTTTAAATTTTTCTCTCCTCGTTGCTTAGGCTAGGTTTCAGTATTACGGTAAATAGGAATGGTGAAAGTGGGCAACCTGGCCTTTTTCCTATCTTAGAAGAAAAGCTTTCACCCTTTCACTGTTGAGGATGATATTAGCTGTGGGTCATCTGTGGTCTTTTCCTGTTGATGTATACTTAAACTATACATTTAAAAATAGTTAAGATGGAAATTTTATGATATGTCCTTTTTACCAATGTAAGAGGTAAATAAAAAATAAACCTAATGAAGTGTTACATAAAATATGTTCCCATCTTTTACCCTGACAAACTATTTTCACAATCCTGGAAGGCTAGTTTCAAATTTTGAATGCTGAGACTCTTTGAAGTTCCATGTCAAAAGGTGGTGGCACAGAGAGGACCACTTGGTTCCCAGGCACCTGCCCATGGGCCACAGCTTACTCCTACTTCTCATTCCCACTGTCCTTATAATACGAGGATCCTACGCATGCACAAGTATAAACACCTGCAGTCCACATGCCCATTACCATCCACATCCTTTGCATACAACTTCTGCCTGACCACCCTGGGAGTGAGCACGCCGGCAGTACGTTCTGCTGTTGCAATGAT